AAACATCTATTGTGTCCTCTTGCTGGAAACGGGCGTGAGGGAAGGCTTCTGAGGCTGGGTTCAGGTGGGTTAAAGCTGTGAAAACAACATGCTTTGGGGTGGTTTATCAGGCATCAGCTGCTATTGATCCAAAGAACAGCAAGATCTTGAGTGGCATCTCTTTGGGGAATGCAAGTTCAGAGGGAAGCAAACAGCAAATGGACGCTGGATATCTTGGTGTTAGACTTTTTCCGCAGTGATTTTGTTGCTCTCCAAGCTGTTGGCTATGTAAAATGACTGCAGCACAGAGGTGATAAGTAGATCTTTGCTTTGAAAGGCTTCTGTGAAAATCACCATCTGAGCACAGAGATGTTTTCCTCCCCAAGGGTTAAGAGGTTAAAATGCTGGGATGGTGCTCAGAGGGTCTGAATTCATCTTCTGCTGCTCTTTCTTACAGAATACCTGTGTAAATCCTGCAACCATCACTGTCAATCAGAGATACTTCCTCTCTCAGCATCTGAGACTCCCAAACAGTGAGCCCTGGAAACTAGGTTCCCATTCCCAGAAAGGGGTAAAAAATCCTGGGCAATGGATAATGGGGGGAAGGAGAGGCTTCTGTCTTATAAGAGTAGAGGGGCTTACTTGCTTTGAAGTCAACAGGTTTGAGATGCAAAGAGGAATTAGATAGTAAACCAGAATTTACACCTTTGTATTTGTGCTTTAAATGGGCATGAATTATGCTTGTTCTGCTGTCCTGCTAATTTAGAATGAGGAATCCATTGACTTTGTTAGCTCAGCAGTCCTGGGGATCAGTTGTCTCTTGCAGGACGTTGTTCAATTGTATAATATCCCTGTTCCTATGGATCAGCCCCTTGGAGCCTCAGGCATGGGCAGGGAGGTCCCCAGGCAACAGCAAGGTGTGTTTTCAGGGTACAGAGGGAAGCAGGTACTGACCTCACATCTCTGGCACAGCAAGTATTGGCAGGGGGCAGGTGGAGCTGTCCTTGGAGGACATGGGGATGGATGAGCTCAGCTGCCTTTCTCTGCTGGCTGGAGCCAAATTCTGTGTGCAAGTGTCTGAGATTATATTTATGGCTAAGTCCAAGAGCAGATGGGATGTGCTAGGATCAGACACCTCTGATAAGGACTGGACCCTCACCATCACCTTTCCATGTGCATCTTGAGATCTTGACTCAAATCTGCTCTTCCTGAGGAGTTTGATAATCATTGAAGGGAAATGGGCACTTTGAAAGAGGTGGGACATGGCCTGTGACATCCTGCTGACACCATTGCCCTTGGTGGGTCTGGGTTTTAATTAGCTTCCCAATGCAAGGTGAAGTCAGCAGGATTCCTTTTCGCACAGTGTGTTTTTTTCTCAGGCCCCTGTTTGCTCCTTGGGAACACATATTCTATTTTTCTTTTTGTTCTGATGCTCAGCAGTGCAGAAAACAATCTGTAGAAATTTCTGCCATCTCTAAAAAGGGTCTGATGGAGCAAATACAGAAGCTGCAATGAATATGTATAATTGCAAATATTGAAGAAGCCAGTGTCCCTTTCTTAATATATGTTATTTCTCATTCTTTGAATGAGTCTGCTGGTGATGGAGAGCAGATAATCCACTTGTGGAATCTCTCTTGCCTTGTGTTGCTACATGATTTATAGCATCATGCAAGGAACAGAATTTGTCACCACTGTTTCTGTGAAATACCATTAAATCCCCTTATAGGGACGGCTCTGAGAAAGTGGGATTTGGGGATCAAGAGGCAAGTTTTTTCATTTTGGTATGACTTTTCATTTTTTCCTGCCAGTTTCCCTCATGCTTTAGCTGTTTGTTGACCATAGATCTGTAAATATCATCTAGTTCCAATACTCCTGCCATGGAAAGGGAGACATGGTTGCTGAATTTCTCTGATCATTAATGTCCTAAGAACAAATTTCACCCATCACCAGTGGCTGTGGTATAAATTTAGCTAATTAGCCTTTGGCAACTCATTAGCCAGGTGCCCATCATCCCAGGAGTGACAGCTGCATCTTTGAACCTTTGCTTTCCAGCCTTTCCAGCACATTCCACATTTCCCCAGCCTTCCTCCCACTCCTCTCCAGCCCAGGCACTTACTCCCTGCATGAGAATGACTTCACCTCTTGCAAAATTAATTCTCTGCTCATGATGGCCTTGATTAGACAGATTGGCAAACCGTGCTAAAGGTGGCAAAACAGCTCTGACACGCAAACACCTTCACCTCCTGAAGGGAAAGGCAAGAACAAACCCCGTGGGCTGTTGCTATTATGAGATGCAGGTGGCTGTGGGCTGTTTTCTGCAGGATCAGCAAAAATTCTCCACATTTAGGAACAGTGTCTGTAAAGTTAAACTGGTTAAAACAGCAGAAGATATAATTACTGGCCCTTGAACCAGGTTATCTTGAAACAATTAAGGATTTTTGAGCCACAAGTGGGTAGACTGTACTGATGCTCCTGGAGCTTGGAGGTAGAAATGGTATAGGTTTGTGGGGCTGCCCCATCCCTGGAAGTGTTTGAGGCCAGGCTGGACAGGGCTTGGAGCAACCTGGTCTAGTGGAAGTGGAAATTGTTGCCATTATAAACCCACGGCAGGGGGCTAGAATGAGATGAGCTTTAAGGTCCCTTTCAACACAAACCATTCCATGATTTTATGTGGAGTAAGCCCAGGGTCCTTCCTTGGCCAGCACACATCCATTAACTGAGCAGAGAACAAGTCGGCCTGGGCCCTGTGGTTCTTTATAATATAAGCCTCTGAAAATTTGCAAACAAACTCCAAATATGCACAAAGCTCATTTTCAGAGGTGTTTTAATTTGTTAATGGATATTGCAATTATTTACCCAATTCATCAAAAAAACCCTTTTGTATACTTTTGGTTTGAATCTTATCATGGGAAAAGAGGTTGAGGAAAAAAATATACTTGCACCGTGTGGAAAAGGGTTTTCTCTCTCATGTTGATGCTCTGGTCTCCTGTAAATCCAGCATCTCTTCATGGTGGTGATCTGCTGCTCCTTTCTAGGCAAACCTCACCTGTCCTCCTCTTTTCCAAGGGGTCTTGAGAAGAGTAGGTGTTAAGATACCATGGCATGTTCTGGGAGGACAGATCTCTCCATTACTGAATTATAATTGGGGTATAATAACATGAAACAGCAGGATTGGGACTGAAGTTGCAGCATGAACATCCCAGGCTTTTTCCCATACCAAGAGAGTGGGGCTGAACACTGAGAAGATACTAGATGGATGAGGAGAGTTTTTGGAAGAGTATTTGTCCCAGACACAAGACATATCTTGGCTGTCAGTAGTTCAAGGTGGCAATACTGATCCCTTTCACAGCAGACATTCCAAAACACAGCTGTGTTGGGTCAAAATGGACACCACAACAAGATAGAGGTGAAACTGCTGTATTTGATGCACTGCATTAACATAAAGGGAGTGTGGGAAGGGCTGAGAGCATTTCTTGGAGTGGGAGCCAACACAGAGGAGCAGAGCAGAATTTGCAGACACTCTTCCCATCAGCTCCTGGGCTGTCCAGCTGGGAGCTCTCACACTGATTTACTGCTGTCCTTCCTTCAGCCTTTGAAAATCAATCCATGAACAATTAAGGTAATGTCTAGTCTAATATTTCACACTCTCTCATTAATGGACTGACAAAAACCCCTCACTTTTTCAAGCAATGTGACTGTTCTGTTCCATGGAAAGGCTGTGTCTCTGGGTCATGCTTTTTCCCTTGCTCCCTGTTAGAGGTGAGATGTGCTTCTGTGGAGGCATGCAGGGAAATGTCTGTGCATCACCACACCTTTGCATTGTGTTCCTTGTGGAGAAGGTGCAGCTGCTGTGCTAAATATCCCCAAACATCCATTAAAGCAGAACTGGATCAGAAAGAGAGAGTCCTGACTGCTTTCTGGGCCCCAGCAGCTGTGTTGGGCTGGCTGTGGGCTCAGGAAAAGAAGCATTTGCTGCCCAAGACCTCAAGTTCCTTTTCTCCACGTCCCAGGCAATAACAGTGTGCCCTGAACTGGGTCTGACCTGTGTCTCTGCTTATGTCCTCAACACTGGGAAATTTCCCCAAACTTCTGGGAAATGGTTTCTTTGGGGAAACACTGTAGATGGCCAGAGACAACACACAACAAGGCTCTAGCTCTCAGCAGTCAATCCACCTCTGATCTGGGGTCAAACTGGGGGTGGACCCCAAAGACCCCTGTGCACCCTGTTTGGGGGGTGACATGCCTGGGGGGCTCTGCAGCCCTTGGGCACTGAGTTTATCAGGGTCAGTGTCCCCCAGCCAGACTGGGAACTGCAGGGACCTGTGGGGTCTGTGTGGATCACCCCACCTTGAGGTAATGCATTTACCACTGCAGCTTCTTGGAATAAATGTGCTATTCTAACTCTGATGTGAAGTGCAGGATTGTTTGGGTTACAGAAATTACCTTTAGCGAATGCTGCTAGAAGAACACTAAATAATAACCATTTTCTCCCCTTAGTTTTTTTATTCCTCCTTGTATTTTTTTTTTCAGTTTCTAGGTCAGACTCCCCATTCCGCTGCTCTTGCGCTAGCACAGCGCTCAGGTTGCACAATTGCAGAGGAGGAAGGAATCTGCTGCCCGAATCCCGAGCTCCACAGTGTACCCTTCCCCGATCCTTCCCTTCTTCCTAGCGACTCCGGCTGCGAGCCCACCCCAGGTAGGCTGCTGCAGGGTGGGTTTGGGGATGTTGGAGGATGCTGTGCCCTCTCCCCTCGCCGGGGGTGGGATGGGGAGCCCACCGCAGCTCCCAGCGCCCGCGGGGCGTGGGGAGGATGCTGCCCGTGTCTCGCAGGTGTGGGCTCTCCTTCCCTTTGCCGCCTTTAGTTATTTATTATTTCCAACCCCTCTTTTCCTCCTTCCCCCTCCCGCTTTTCTCTTACGCAGTGGGAGCAGCCCGGCAGCCTGGCTCTGCCCAGCCGCTCTCCGTCCTCCCTCCCTCTCCCTCATCCCTCCCTTTTCCTTAAAAACGTGGGCTCCAGGGTGCATCCCTGCCTGCCAGAGCAGCCCCTTCCCCCCCTCCACCTGCGGAGCCCTTGGCTTTGTCCCGTGTTTCTCCCCATCCCCTGGCTCGGGGGTGCTGGATGCGGCCGCGGGGAGCGGAGTCTGGTCTGGAGCTGCGCTAGAGGAGGGACCTGCCGCAGGTAAGCAGCCAGTGGGGGGTTATTTCCAACTATCCTGCCGTTCTATGGTGATAAGGAGCGGGGAGGGGGTCGTGCCCCGGTGGGAGGCTGTGGTGGCTCTCGGGGGACGCGGTGGGCAGTGTCCAGGGGCACAGAAGCGCGGGGGGGGGAGCGCGGCGCTGGCGGG